TATATATATATATATATATATGGTACATGTGTATATATATGTGTGTGTGTGGTATATGTATGTATATTTTAGGCATTTGAAATCTTGGTAAAATAATAAACAGATTGAGAAGTTTGCTTCAAGCTGGCCCATTCCATTAAAAGTAACTAATCTTAATTTCTCACCTTATGGAATACCTCTTGGATTCTTTTAATATTTCTTTGCTATTATTCTAGTTCTGTACTTTTTTAAACTAAGTCTGAAATGTTGGAAAAGCCTCTTAGTTTGTCATTTTGCTTTTGTTTTCTTAGCTTCTTTAATTAATACTCTATGCTACTGAAATCATTACATGCTGACGGGAAATCTGCACACATCCCAACAATCTGAGTGCTATATATTCTAACTATACTTCATCTACCTTTAACTCCTCCCCTGATTTCACAAAATGAATAGTGTCTTCATATATATTGACTGCTATCTGGCCACCTTCTCCTCTTATCTGCCCACTGATAAATACTACAGTCTCTTCCTTCCCATTTCCCAATGTGAGGTTCTCATCACACCCGTGCTTCTCCAGGTACTTTTCCCATCAACTCCACATGGTGTGGACATCTCTACTTGGTGATTTATAATTTTTACATTTTAAAAAAATTTATTCTGTGCATACTATATTTACTTAGAAATTTTTGTATCCTACATTTGCCCTCTTATTTTTACATCTCAAACTTTTAACTCCCCAAGGACATATTTCTGTGAATGCCTCATAGCACTTTTTCTAGTGCTGAACTCACAGTGGGCACTTACGAAGTGATAGTTAAATGGAATATCAGATATTAAATATTGTTTTAATGTTTTATCTATTCCCCTCACCTTTTTTTCCTTTTAAGTGTCTGGCAACATATCGACTGCATGGGGATCGACAGGCAGCATATTCCTGATACATATCTATGTGAACGTTGTCAGCCTAGGTAAGCTATACATACCTGACAAGATTGCCAGTAATTTTACTGGAAAAATTAATAGGATTTTATTCATAATGTTTAGATTAAGAATTAATGAATCTCTGTATGGTGGTACCTCAGTTCATGAACATTTTTGTTTGTAAAGAATTTTGTTCTCAAACAGAAGCATTTGGCAAAATTTTGTGATTGTTTGTAAACTGCATTGTGGGTTAGGGGTTTAGCTTAGTAGCACCGCACCTGCCTCAAAAGTATGAGGTCTTAAGTTCGATCTCCAGTTCAAAAAAAGGAAAAAAAAAAAAAAAACTCGAAAATAGGAAACTGTGCATTGGGTGACAAACATGACCACAGCCACCTTTTCCACACAAACAGATGTGGCCATCTTTTTCAAAATTGTAGAACAAATTAAGTTCGTGGACTGGGACACCATTGTATTTCATTAATTTTAAGGTGTACTTTTTTGTTTTTATATATACTATTATTTTTCTATACTGACATCTCTGAAATTAAGAATTTTTCCATTGACAGTTTATCATTGTTTTACTTTGTTGGGATTTTATTAGTGATAAATAATAGTGCATTTTCTAAGGGTTAAAACCTCTTTTTTCTCTGGAATATGCTATGCTAAAAAGTCACTAGAACACTGTCTTGGTTACATATATAATTTGGTAGATCTACCATTTTACCTGTCAATAGTATGTGGGGTCCCCCCAATTTCTTTTTTGTTTTTAAATGTATTATGAACATTTTTAAACGTATGCAAAATAGTACAGTGAACTCATATGAATCTCCCACCCTGCTTCAGTCATTATCAACAATTGTAACTGCGTGTTTACTTTTAAGCTAAAATATATGAATTTATTCTTATGGTTTCAGTTTAAGTTTAGGAATGCCAAGTTTTCTTTTCTTTTTTTTTTGGTACTGGGGAATCAAACCTCAGTCCTTGCACTTGCAAGTGCAAGGCAGTGGAACCACTGAGCTAAATTCCCAGCCCAGGAATAAAAGTTTTTATTTAACCGTTTTTATAGTATATACATATCTATTAACCTAGTTCTCAACAATACAAGAATAATGTACTTAAAATGTCATAGTTACTTAATCCTACAGAGTAATAGCACCAACACTTAACACCATGGGTAGGATAATATAAAGCAGTTTAGAACTTTATTCTCCTTGGAGTATAGTTTTTGCGCTGTATAGTTCTGTTTGAAATCCCTTGAAAGAATTACATGAGTTGTAACACCAACTGGATACACACTGACATTATTTGATTATCAGTTTCATTTTGGCAGTTAAACTTTTCGAGTAATTGTCAACTTTATTATAGTTGTAAAAAAAAAATACAGAGGTTTTGTCTATCCTTACCTCATTACCCCTAGTGAGAACACCTTTTGAAACTGTTAATACAATATCATAACTAGGACTTTGACATTGATATAAAGTGAAGGAGTCAAGGTATAAAACATTTCCATTGCTTCAAATACCACTGATCTATACTTCATTTCTATAATTTGGTCCTTTCCAAACTGTCATATAAATGGAACCATATATTATGTGATACAGTATATGAACTTTTTGGGCTGACCTTTTCCCTTAGCATAATTTCCTGGAGAGTTACCTGATTTGTTGCATGTATAACTATTTAACTCTTTATTGCTGAAAGTAGTAGCCCATAATATATATGTTCTCCACTCTGTTTAACTGTTCACCTATGAAAGAACATATGGGTTGTTTATACTTTGTAGATTATTACAAATGAAGTTGCTATGAACATGTGTATACAGATTTTCATGTGAATCTGAGTGATTTTTCCCATGGGATTTATGTCCAAGAGTGTGATGGCTCAGATGTACGGTAGTTGCATGTTTAGTTTTATAAGAAATTGTCAAACTATTTTCCATAAAGGCTATCTACCATTTCACATTCTCACCACAATGTATGAGTAATTTATTTTTTAATTTTGAGAAACCCATTTTTATTTATTTTCGTAATTATATACATTATAATTTTGTAAGAAGTAGTCCTATTATTCTGAAATCAAATATATGAAACAAGGTATATTCAAGTAAGTCTAGCTTCTTTCTTTATTCCTTTTATCCCAGAAGTGACAGTTGTAAAAATGGATTTTTCCTCCCATTGCTTGCTCTCTTACATGCAGATATGTACCCATGTATTTATGTCCCCTCCTTGCCTAGGTAAGCAGAAGCATTTTATACAGAGTACTTGTTACATTTAATTTTTTTCCTGTAAAAATCAATGTTGAAGTCAGACATGTAAAGCATGCATTGAGTACGTACCGAGACCATGTCTCAAAACAAAAAGTGGAAGTACAGAGATCTTAGTAGTATAGAGTGACTCATTTCTTTCCTTACCTTTGAGGCACTGTTTTTCATATACTGTGGTTCATTTAACTAGTTCTTTTTGGAGAGACTTCTTGTCAGTCTTCTGTTGTTTCAAGTAGAAGTAGGATTATTCAGTTACACATTTTACCAAGCCTCCTCCCATAGGAGCTGTGCAGATTTGAATTCCCACCGGTAATTGGAAAAATATATCTATTATCCCAAGCCTCACTGTAAGAGTATTTGAAAAACTTAGAATTTTGCCAGTTTCATTAGGTTAGAATTGGTAACATCAGTATACTCCTTGCATTTCTCTCTCTCTCTCTCTCTCTCTCTCTCTCTCTCTCTCTCTCTCTCTCTCTCTCTCTCTCTCTGGTACAGGGGATCAAACTCAGGTCCTTACACTTGCAAGGCAGACAGCAGAACCACTGACCTAAATCCCCAGCCCACATTTCTGTTAATATGAGTGAAGTTTCTATTTTTTAAAATATTTTTGGTTTCATTTTACAATAGTTGTTAGCATTTCACCACAGTTTTTGCTTTTTTTGTGTGCCAGCAATTATATTCAGGACCTTGAAGCTAAGTGGCAGGCACAGGGCCACTGAACTAAATCTGGATTCTGCCAGATTTTTTTTTTTTTTTTTTTTTTTTTTGGTACCGGGGATCAAACTCAGGTCCTTGTGCTTGTGAGGCAGGCAGTGGAACCACTGAGCTAAATCCCCGGCCCTATGGTTGTTTGGTTTTTTTGAGACAAGGTCTTACTATGTAGTTGAGACTGACCTGGAACTCACTATGTAGCCCAGGCTGGTCTCCACCTCACAGTGATCCTCCTGCCTCAGCCTTCGGAGTGCTGGGATTATAGGCGTGCGCCAACACGCCCATCTTGGTGCCAGATAGTTTTTGATGAAATAAACATCTGTTGATGAATTCAGTAAGAGTTGGTTAAAAACTGGCCATTAGAAGGGCAGTTAGTTGAGAGAGATATGCTTATCATTCTGTGATAACAAGGATTGCTTTGCTGTATGACATACCAGGATGATAATTACATGTCCTAGTAGACATTAAAGCAAGTCTTTACTGAACTGTAATAATTTTAGTCTAGAGCCCTTTAGTCTCTCCTTTTAGAATAATCTACTATTATTTGGTCTCTCAAGTAGTCAGTATATGAAATGAAAATGTTGGGGAAAATGTAAAAAATTACTGTGGATTATGTCATTCGCGGGTAGAGTTTGGTGGGGGTTAACAGGTTAATTTTGCCTATTATGTTCAATGTTTATTATTTCAAGAGTGGGAAGAATTTGAGACATAAGACAATGTGTAATAGACACTAATTTAGCATTCTATATTTAAGAAATGTAATTTATGATTTCAATTGTATTGTTAACTTTGTCTTTTTTCAAAATTTTGCTTTAAATACTGATTTTGAAAAAAATATACTTATTTCTTAGGTAGATAAAAAATTATTTTTTGAGCAGAATGAAATGGAGTCACTTAACTGGCATTACTGCTGTAGTACTAGATCATATCTAAATTGTAAGACAAGAGATGTGGCATATTTCATACTGTTGATTTTCACTAATAATATTAAAGAAATCATAAAGTCACCACATTTAAAACAGATATGCTTTCATCCATCTTTATGAGAGTGTGATAAATAACCATGTTAATATTTTAATGTAGGAGTCTGGATAAAGAAAGGGCAGTGCTCCTACAGCGCCGGAAAAGGGAAAGTATGTCAGGTGGGTAAAGAACCTACACTAAATTAAGATTGGTGTGATGAGAAGATAAGTGCTTGCATATTTTAGCTACATGTAAACCCTTGTTGATAAATTTTGATTACTATTTTGTTTACAGTCTTAGGTGATTTTAAATATTCTTTTTAATGGATTAATGAATGTCTATATTTACTTTAGGAAACATGGAAACTTGAAAACAAAATAAGAAATTTAATCTACAATTTTCCTACATATAGGTAGCTTATTGATTTAAAGAAGTAAAGTATCTTATTAAAAAAGATGGCGATCTGTTAGTTTATTGTATGGAATAGTGTTTTTTTCATGATTAAAAACAGAATTTTCTAAATTCGGTGTGATATATACCACAATTTGCATGTGACCTAAAACATATTTTCTTACAAAGGAGGGGGAGAGGGAAAGGAAAGAAGATACAAAAAAAGGGGGAATAGAGGGAAAAACAAGCTTTTGTAAATAAGGAGTGGAACATGGTCAAAGGGAGGGGGAGAATGGGGAAAAAAAGAAGCAAGATATACCATGTACAGGTACACATTTCATATGATGAATTTGGTCATTATGCATATGTGTGTGTGTGTGTGTGTGTGTGTGTGTGTGTGTGTAAAGAATATACCAATAAATATTTTGCTTAAAAAAATTTCCTAGGGCTGGGGGTTTGACTCAGTGGTTCTGCTGCCTGCCTCGTAAGTGCAAGGGCTCGAGTTCAATCTCCGATACCAAGAGGAAAAAAAAATTGCCCAGGCTGGGTTCAAGCTGTCAATAAAAAAAAAAAAAAAAACAGCATTCAACCATTCCTCTTTGACGAATATTTTGGCTTTTCAATGTGTGTGTGTGTGTGTGTGTGTGTGTGTGTATTTTAATCACAAACAATGCCTTCAGTGAAACCCTCTTATGTAAGTTTTTTGTTTTTGTTTTTGTTTTCTGGTGCCAGGAATCAAACTGAGGACCTTGAACTTGCCAGGCAGGCATGGGGCCACTGAGCTGTGTCCTCAGCCCTTTTCTAGGTTTTTTGAGACAGGGTCTTACTATGTAGTTCAGGCTGCCCTTGAGCTCACTTATAAACTAGGCTGGCCTTGAACTTGCAGAGATCCTCCTGCCTCAGCTTCCTGATTGTGGGATTAGAGGCATGTGACACCACACCTAGCTCATACTATTTTGGCCAGCTCCCTGGAAATGGGATGGCTGAATCAAGTGATTAAGTACACATATAATTTGTTAGGTATGGGTAAATTTCCTTTCACGGGAAATTTTGAAACACCTGGCAATCTGTGCTAGTGCCTGTTTCCTATAGTCATACCATCAGAGCCAGACTTTTGGACTCTGAAGTTTGACATGTGAGAAACGGTTTCCATAGTTCACATTCAAATATTATCTTCTTATGAGTGACATGCTTGAAGATGCAATAAAAGGTACTTACTCTTTGGAAAGATGGTGATAGTAATACTGTCATGTGGAATGCTGTTTTTATTGTTTGAAATAAAAGTATTAAACATTCAGTGACTTTATTCTGCATTTAAAGATGGTGATACCAGTGCAACTGAGAGTGGTGATGAAGTCCCTGTGGGCTTGTATACTGCATTTCAGCACACTCCAACCTCCATTACCTTAACTGCTTCCAGAGTGTCCAAGGTCAACGATAAAAGAAGGAGAAAAAGTGGGGAGAAAGAGCAAAACATTTCAAAATGTAAAAAGGTATTTTTTGCTTCTTGTTTATTTTTTGAGACAGGGTCTTGCTCTTTAGTTTAGGCTGGCCTTGAACTATGTACCACACCTGGCTGTCCTTGCTCTTATTTATTTATTTATTTATTTATTTATTTTTGTTTTTTTGAGATAGGGTCTTGCTATGTAGTTGAGACTGACCTGGAATTCACTATGTAGCCCAGGCTGGTCTCAAACTCACAGCAATCCTCCTGCCTCAGCCTTCCGAGTGCTGGGATTACAGGCCTGCGCCACCACGCCCAGCGTCCTTGCTTCTTTTTAGATGGGAGTAGCTGGGAGCTGAATTTTAGGTTGAGAATGATGGCTAGCAGCTGAACAGGTGGCAGGATTTTAAGCAAGTACTTATTTTAACATTGTAATGCATTTTATAGATTAGGGTAGAATAGAGAAGAAACTTTGCAAACTGCTTTGAAATCATTGCTCTAATGATGCTAATGATAGAAATGCAAAGCCTAAATAGAATAGAAAAGGTTGCTATTTTAGAAAACAGGTGTAACGCTCCTATATTTCATTATTTTAGTAAGGCTTCCTATTTGTTGAATTTCTTACTGGTAGGTTTTCTTTTTTTCTTTTTTTTTTTGTACTTAAATTTTTTTGATAATTTATACCTAGCCCCTGATGGCAGAAGACTATTTATAAGCTAATTTTTAATTTAGTTAATAAAATTTGCTAATGATGGATCACATATGCAACAGTGGTCCCATAAGAACATAAGGTGAAAAACTTCCTATCACCTAGTATTTTTACTGTATGCTTTCTGTGTCTGGTATGGTTAGAAACACAAGTGCTGTTGTGTTACAATTGCCTACAGAAGTATACTGTCTAGTTTGCAGCCTAGATAGGCTACGCTGTCTAGCCTAGATGTGAAAGAAGTTAGACTTTGTAGGTTAGTGTAAGTACAGCCTGTGATGTTTACAAGTGTGAAACAGCTTAATGATGCATAGAATGTGTGACTGTAATTGCTAAGGATGATTTTTGTTGTATAAGGTAAAAAATACTTTCACAGTAAGTATGTTGCTATCATACAGTAAAATTATACCTACGTGTGAAATCAAGGCTTCAAAATAAAGCCAACCCCCAAGTGATTCTTCATGATCTATTTGGTTATTTAGTGGACATCATGTACTTTTAAGTATGTGTTTACTTTTCTAGTTTTACCTTGCTCTTTATAATCAGCTTGACTGTAGCACTCTTAATATGTATGTCTCTCATTCCCTGTTACTTTTCTGCTTGAATTTTATCCAGTGTGGATGATTCACTGTCTACCCACACTCTTGTATCTTGTTTACACTGATTCTTTCATCACTTTGAATATCCTCTTCTGTCTCGTATAAACTGAGGCCCATCTCAAGTGCTACTGCTTCCATAAAACTTGCTGTTTTCCTACTAGACGTCTTTCTCTGCTTTCTTTAATACCATTTGAACCTTCTGTTCCAGCAGTTAACCACATTTTTGCCTTATTTCATTGTTACTGTCCTTATATTTGATAGATTATAATTTACACAGAGACTCTTAAGTTCCTTATAGGGGTTAGGAAGTCACCTTTTTGTGTACAGCTTTCAATTATGTTTTATTTGTTATATAAAAATTACTTGGAAATTTGACTTTTTCTTTTGAGACAGAGTCTCCCTGTGTAGCCCAGGCTGCCCTTGAATTTGCAGTGATTCTCCTGCCAGCCTTCCTACTGCTGGAATTACAGGCATGAGTCCTCAGACATGTGCCACCAGTGGCTATGTGTATTTGTTTTATTGGGCATTTAAAATAATAAATAAATTCTGGGTTTTTATGATTTCATATTTCCTTAGAACATTGTTTTGTATTTTAAAGGGAAGGGATTTTCTCAGGCATTAAATTAGTAGTATTGGATAGGAATTGGAAGGGGGAAAAAGAATCCAGAATTGAACATAAAAGATTGCTTGTTTTGTCCTCTAAAATTGTTATTTGGGAACAATATGTAATAAAAATATTTAGCACAAGAATATTGTTTTGCTTTTCTTTTGGCCTATTCTTATGGCTAAATGTGAATAAAGTTAGCAATAAATATTTTGGACAGATGGCACCTTTTACATATTTATAGAATTCTATTAAAGTATTCTTGGTGTTTTAGCAACTTGATATTGGTGTGAAATATTAACATTAATAAAAAAGAAAGTTTTGACTGACATTTATTTTTATTGTGTTATTTCATAAAACTCTTACAGCAGATATTACTTATAAATATTCTCATACAGTTGAAGTGTCCCTAATGTAAAAAAATCTGAAATCTGGAAAGCTTCAGAATCTGAAAAAAATTTCAAAAAGTTTCAGATTTTGGATTTTAGATTAGGGTTACTCAACTTTCACATTATAGTTTATGCAAATAATCCAAAGCTGCCCTACTCAAGGAATCTAGTCAGACTATCCAACAATTTTGGATAAGGGATACTCAAATCTGTACCGTTTCTCTATCAGTGTTTCCTGTCTACACCAAACATAACTTCTTTCACTATCCATTCGTGTGTGTGTGTGTGTGTGTGTGTGTGTGTGTGTGTGTATCTGTATCTCTGTCTGTCTTGACACAGTTAACACCCAAGCTGTAAAATTTTTAGGTTATCTTTATCTTTGAAATCCGGATTTATTCTCAAAAGCTTTCTATGATTTTTCCTTTGTAATATCTCTGATATGTTTTTTGCCTCTTTTGCTGCTACAAATCTAGTCTAAACTCCCAGTATCTTAGTCATAATACAAGTAATGCTTCCTGTGTTCTTTTCTGTGTGTATTCTGTGTTTGTTTATCAGATTTCCTGTAAATACTGTTCTTATATCCCTCTTCTGCTCAGAAATACTCTATAGATTCTTTACATAAAGTGAAGAAAAATACAGTATCTATCTAGGTCAGAATCATAAAAAAAGCTGACTTTAAATAAGGATTCCATGACTTAAGTGGATTTTTTTTAACCTGTTTTTACCACCTAAGTGGATGTTTTTAGATATCAATCTCGTATCCCACTACTTTTCAGCAGGTAAAGTGGTGTTATATTAACTTTTCCTTGAGTGTTACATAATTTCTTTCTTGTTTCTTGGCTTCTTTGATAGTTCTTTGTGTTCCCGGGCTTATATTCTTTAATTTGTTTATCTGAGCATATGCATTCTGCAAAGTCTGTGTAACTCCCTCCCCTCCGATGATTTATATAAAACTTTTCTTTAAAACAAAGCCTGTTCTCTTTTAACATGTCATCTGCACATAAATTTTCTATGTAAATGTTTTTGGATCTCTGTTGCTGTCTTTAGGTTTGCATAGTACAGGGATTGAACTCACAGCCTTGTCAGGGCTAGGCAAGCTCAACCATTGCGCTACATCTCCAGGCCAAAATTAATTCTTAATTAACTCTGGACCTGGAAGCTAAGTGGGGTTTCAGTAAATATTTCTTGAATACATTCAGCTCTATTTGAACATGATATTTACTCATTAAAGGCAGAAATATTATTGTCTAGTTGCTTTCAGAATTAAAATAATACCACTATCCCCCTTCTATTTTTTATCATTTCAAATTATTGCAGTATTTCTGACATCTTCTCAATTTTTATCATAAATATTTTTTTGTGGTTATAATTTTTATTTTTTTAAAATTTCAGCCGATAGCCAAAAAATTATTATGCATATTAAGGGTATTAAGTAATATTTTATTAATGTTTAAATTAGGTTAAACATTTTTACCTCATTCTTTGTCTTGTGATGAAAACTTTCAAAATCTCTCACTTTTTTTTGTTTTGGTGGTGGTGGTGGTACTGGGAATTGAACTCAGGGCTTTGTGTGTGCTAGGGAAGTGCTCCACCACAGAGCCATATCCATAACCCTCTTCTGGCTTTTGAAATGTAGAGTACATAATATCTACGGTCACCATATTGTACAGTAGTGACAGCTGTAACATTGAGCACATACAATATTTGCAAAGTTTTGTCTAAGTATCATATTATATAAACTCTCATATTCTAAAGAGCCTGCATTATGTTTGTAATAGTACAGATTCTGGTAGGTGCCTTTCTTTACTTCAGCGTTCTCCTAGTTCTACCACTATTACCAATTACCAAACTTATTCTTACTACATTTCAGTGAAAAATTTCAATGAACTCACTGATTCTTAAATATTATATCTTGATTTGAAAAAAGTAATTCAGAATCCTTGGATTATTTTAGGCTTTTCGTGAAGGATCTAGAAAGTCATCAAGAGTTAAGGTAAGAATATTAAATTAATACTACTCTGAAATATCAATTTTTCGCAGCCTACCAAAAAACTGCTTGTCCAATATTTATGTATTCTTCGTTGCTTATTACATGTACAAGAAGTGAGACCTTAGAATTCTAATTGGATTAATATGCCACTCTCAGTTCAACACTATAAAAATAATAAAAAAGGGAAGGTGTGTAAACAATTTGAAATAGTAGAGTTATTAGGATTTAAGTATAACTGCCTTCCATGTTTTTAATAGTATTTTGTGTTAGTATATTTTCATACAAATGAATGTAGAATCATATTAGAAAGTTGAAAATTTGCTCTTTTGCATTATTGGGATTCCAAAGAAGTCAAATCAGTTGTTCTACCATATAATCACTATAGATTCACTACGTAAATACAAACTAGTCACATGTACCTTGAGTTAATTAGAATAAATACATTCTCAGTTTTCTAGCTGCTAAAATTGCTAAGAGAAGTGAGGCTCTGTACATCTGCTTCTTCCCTAGAACATGGATTGGTACCAAGTTAACAGAAAGTTATTTTTGTGTTGTTATTATACCTTTCTGGGTTAGGTAGTAAAGGATAACAAAGTTCCGAAATTGGGAAACATTAAATAGGATGTGAGGAATGTGTTACATATATGTTTTGTTCCTGTAGTATAAAGCAGAATAGTAAGTCATTTTGCCACAGTTCTGGAAAACAGAAAATATTTCCAGCACACCCAAATGATTCTTCTTGCACAGATTTGTAATTCTCAAGAATGTTAATATATATGTCATTTAGCATACTGCAAGTCCAAAGCTCCATAAAATGTTTTTTATGTGTTGAAGATTTTATATTTACTGTGTTAACTTGAATTTATGGAATTTATAGATTAAAGAGTTCAAAGTTGTTTTTTTTTTAAAATTGTTACTGTCTATTAATACTCCAGCATTCCTTCATCTCAGTTTAATCACTTCAACTTTAGGCCACACGGAAAAAAAAAAAAAAAGCACCTTTTACTTAACTGAGATACTTTCCTTAAGTACATGGAGCGGTCACTTCAGAGTGAAGTTTTCTTTTTTTTAATTTTAAAAAGTTTTTGTGTGTCTTTAAAAATTTCTTTAACTTGAAAATATTGGTTTAAAGTCATTACAACCCCAGTAAGTAATTTAATAGTAAATTTTATAAAGTTTAATAGGGAAGAGCTGCATCAAAGAAAGACCATGTCTTTTTCTTAAAAAGAAATAATTTAAACACTGAATAGAATAATAAATCAGAGTGAAACTAATATGAAGTTGTATCTCATAAAATCTGTTCTTTATCAAATGACCATCATAATGTACAATAAAGCCAGTTGGTAAAATAAGCCTATGCCCATCAAAGAGTGAAGAAGCTTATTTTAGTTTATACTTCATTAGAGAAAACAGTGATACTTGTAATAAGATTGGTCATTCGTATGATAGATGAACTGATGGTAAGTTTAGTAATGTGTTAGTATGCACTTGTACATGTCTAATAGGATATATAAGGATCTTTATGAGATGTGTATAAAAATTATTCAGTTAGATTTTTCATATGGAAATTATTTTTTCATAAAGGTGTTGAATAGTTTAAGAAATTATGTGCAGTATTTATAACTAAATTTATTACATGGCCAACTGATGATAGTTCTTGGAGCTGCACTAGATTAAGATACAGTTTTGTATAAAACATGTTAAAGGCATATATCAGAAATAAATAGAGTGAATATGCAGCATGTGTAGTTCACATAATTGCAGATGTATTTTAGTTCAATACTATAGACAAATAACAGCTGATGGTTGTTTTTATAGGTTAGATGTGTAGTGGCTCTCTTTTAAAGAAAATTTATATGCTATCTCTTTTTAGCTATTAGCTGACATTGATCTAAAGTTTAAATATTTGCAGTTTTACCAGTGGCCTTGAGTTGACTGTAGTCCTGACAGTGAAGCGTGAGTGCCTGATATTCCAACTCAGTGTTTTGAGTGTTTGACTCATTTTTGTGGCACGCAGGTGAACGCAGGTCTTCCTTTCACTAGAATCAACTTAGGAAGCCAAACACTATTTCTATTTTATGTTTACATCAATTTTATTTGTGTGTGTATGTGTCTAAGTTCAAGTAGCAATGTTTACTTTGCTATAATTTTAGGGTTCAGCACCAGAAATTGATCCTTCATCTGATGGTTCAAATTTTGGATGGGAGACAAAAATCAAAGCATGGATGGATCGATATGAAGAAGCAAATAATAACCAGTATAGTGAGGGTATTCAGAGGGAGGCACAAAGAATAGCTCTGAGATTAGGCAATGCAAGTGACAAAAAAGACATGAATAAAGCAGAATTGAATATCAACAATTTACTCTTCAAACCTCCTGTAGAGGTAAATATATTATTTGTCAAAAAAATCATAAAACAAGGCCATTTTTTTTGTACTGTGTATCATTAGACTGAAAGCAGCCAAGTCTTACTAATCTCAACATATACTATGATTTTTTAGAGCCATATACAAAAGAATAAGAAAATTCTGAAATCTGCCAAAGATCTGCCTCCTGATGCTCTTATTATTGAATATAGAGGGAAGTTTATGCTGAGAGAACAGTTCGAAGCAAATGGGTATTTTTTTAAAAGGTACGTTCATCTATTTTCCTGTTTGTTTTCTGTAGTTAAATGTTGGATTTCAGTATCTCACTCAGATGCTGTGACTCTGTGCATTTTTTACTCTCAGATATGATCATTTCAGTATTTGACACTTTATTTATTGGGGTTGACCAGTGACTAAGGATAACTTTTGATCTGTGGAAACAGCAACTGCAAAAATACGTATATTGGGCTGAGGATGTAGCTCAATATCACAGCACCTGCCTGGCAAGCATGAGGCCCTGAGTTTGATTCCCAGCATAAAAAAAACAAACAAACAACAACACAAACCCAAAACCACACCCACACCCACCCCCACACACATACACACCCATACCTATTCCTCTGAGTCTCTTGTCTAGCTCTGTCTTGTAAATTCTAAAAGAACCCACTTCAAAGATAAATAAAATCAATATAAGCTGGATATATAAGATAGTAAGAATCTGGAACTCTGAGTTCCTGAAGTTACCAGGAACACTCTCCACCCCAGGACCTGTGCTAATTCCTTGTAACATAATTGCTAGAACTGAGAAGACTCTGGTGACTTCAGGCACAGTCTCTTCGTCTATTACACAGTGGGAGATTGTTCCTGATTATTGCAGTGGTGTCAGTTCCCACAGTGTTGGTGTGAGAATGGTTTAGGAGGCCTATTCTGTTCTTTGGGATTCTTATGGAGAATCAATATCCTCTGATAGCCACTGCTTCCCTAAAATCTAGAAATATGTTCCTGTCTTTAGGAGGATAACATTGCCACACTGTGTCCTAAATTATTGAAAACATATCTTGTTTATAACTTGAGTTTTGAAAGATACATCTTTCCCCACTTATACAGCTGATTTGATCTGAAGCAGGTATAAACCAAACAGTTTTAAATGTACCAAGAAATATGGATGTTAAAAGTATAGAATGTGAATTTTCTATAAAAGCAATGGTCATTCTTTACCTTAGACCAGGTGTGACAGTACACACCTGTAATCCTAACACTCAGGAGGCTGAGATGGGAGAATGCCATTAGTTCAAGAACAGCCTATGTTACATGATGAGTTCAAGACCAGCCTGGACTATACAGCAAGATGCTGTCTCAAAAAACTTTAAAAAAAAAAAAAAAAAAAAAAAAAGGATTTTTACTTTAATTGCCTTTGGTTTAGGTAAAGTTATAATAGGGGAAGGTAAAAATCTCACTAGTATAAAGTAACTAAAGTTAAGAGAGGGTTGTGGAGTCAGACGTGTTTCTCTAATTATGGAGAATCTTGTAGAAATTTCTTAAACTCTTTTCTTAAATATTTTTAAAACTGTTTTCCCTGGAAGAAGGACAGGAAATTGTTATGCTGACATGTTAATAGCCTGTCATTTTCTTTTTCTTTGTAGACCATATCCTTTTGTTTTATTCTATTCTAAATTTCATGGGCTAGAAATGTGTGTTGATGCAAGAACTTTTGGGAATGAGGCTCGGTTCATCAGGCGTTCTTGTTCACCCAATGCAGAGGTAAACTTACTGGAATCTTGTGGGGAGGCGAGGGCTGAGTGTGGGTAGAATCTGAGCAATAAGTACCAAGCTGGCCTGAAGCAGGAGGAGGGCTAGGTCAAGCCCTGCCTAGACAATTTGGACAAAATAAAACATGAAAAAAGGAACCAGGGATTTTACTCACTTTGAAGGCCCTGGAATCCCAGTACCACAAAACAAAAAACAGTGCCAACTTCCATGCTGATGGAATTTTATTTTGCTCAGATCTTTCTGTTTTGAAAATTTAGGTGATCATGTCTGTGAGGTCTTAAAAATGACTTTTACACATTGAAGAAATTGTGATACTCCTTGTAAGAGGGAATATTGGGGTTTTTCTTTCTTCTTTCAGGAAGCTATATTTATGGGTCAAATATATGGTATGATTTTACCAAGTTACATGACAAAGCTAAAAGCTAAAGTAGAGCTACTGTAATATTTTTGATAAAATTGTATTTTAGTGTAGACTACAAAATAACTGGTTTTGTTTTTACATGCCATAATAAATACTTTTAATTCTATAATTATATAATGTTGCGGCAAAGAGTATAATGTTTGGAGCCACATATTCATGTCTTTTCTGTTACTTGTTTTATAACCCTAACTATGCCTCATCTTTATCTATAAAAGGTAGTATTGAGGACTAAAAGAGTATCATGTAAAATATCTGAAAGTATCACAGAAAAGTACTGTTGGCTGTATCACTATTGCATTCCATCAAAGCCAAGCTGCCAGCACTTATAAGACTCCCAGTTTCATAGAAGCTAAAAGGTGAAAAAATACACTTTTTAGAATTGATGAAATATGAGTACAATGTTTATTTTTTTGGATGCCATAAGGGCTGGTGGGGGTTAGCAGGGAGCAGCAGTCTGCAGTACATTTGAACAACCTTCCCAATCGACAACCACTGATTTGTAGTTAGAGGTCTTGTAATTAATCATAATTTTCCAAGTTGTGTTTGTGACATACCTTTAGGACCACAATACTAAAAGTTGCATGGTAGGATGCTTCTAAAAATAAAAACTAAAGTATTGAAATGTAAATTTTTTTTAACAGGTGAGGCATGAAATTGAAGAGGGAACCATACATCTTTATATTTATTCTATCCAGAGTATTCCAAAGGGCACTGAAATTACCATTGCCTTTGATTTTGACTATGGAAATTGGTAAGTTTTAGACTGTAAATATATCATCAGTTGTTTCAAAGTAATTCCTTAATATTCTTATATTAATTTAGATAATTGTCATTTCTTTAGTAGCTTTTATTTATCACAAGGCAATTGAAAGTAGTTGAAAACAAGCATTTTGGTATCCGTTTCCATTATATCATTGTTGCTTATTTTCACTTATTGTAATGTAAATGTTCACACTGTATAAGTAGTAGTCCTTATTCAGCCATAGAAAACAGACTTTGTTATATGAGAAATTTTTTCTTCATTCTCTTGTATTTTAGGTGATAGAATTTTAGTTACACATTTTCTTGACTAATGAGTGTGAATGAGTAGTTTCTCTTTTGCCCTTCAGAACAAAAGAAATTATACCACATTTTCTTTGCATTGTAATTTGAAAGGACTTGTTAGAAATCCCTGTCAAGAAACACTGAAAACTACTGCTCTGAAACACTAGGAAAAAAATAAGCATTAGTTCTGAGTATAAAAATTTTAAAAATAAATTTTATTTTATACCATTCCCCCCTCAAGCCCCCTCCCCTCCCTATGTTCAAAAGCTTATTCTCCATTTTTTTCCTTCTATTTTCACTTTTTTTGTATCCCTTCTTTTCTCCTCCTTGTTCCTCTTAATTTTTATTTATTTTTGGTTTTTTGAGACAGGGTCTTGCTATGTGGTACAGGCTGGCCTTGAACTCACTATATGGCCCAGGCTAGCCTCAAACTCCTGATGATCCTCTTGCCTCAGCCTCCACAGTGCTGAGGTTACAGGTGTGCACCACTATACCTGACAAAAACTTTTTTAATTAAAAAAATTTAATATAAAATAGAAACATTTCCAATATCCCTGTATTTACTTCCCCAATTAAAAATAAAACATCCAGTGAAGCCCCTCATATTTAGCAGCCAGACTGCATCAGCTTCACCTTCTCTCCTTCACTACCTGCCATCTTAGAATTTTGCAGTTTTCAACTTTATGGAGATTGTAACTTACTATATTCTTCTGCATTCATATTTTCCCACTCATTGCTAGACAAAACTACATTGTTGCATTTAACTCTAGTTTGTTTATTTTCACTGCTAGTGGCATTTACTTATTAGGGACTTTATATTTATGAAAAGGTGCACCTATGGCTGTTGGAACATGTCTGCATGGGACATGTTCTCTCCAGTAGGGACTAGGAGTGAAATTGCTGAGGTCTAGAGTGTACAGACACAGGTGAGCTACTCCCCAAAGAGGCCTGTTCCCAGTTTATGTGACCAAGTAATAAGTTCCTAGCTTTAATCCTTAACTATTAGCATTTAAAAAATTGGTGCTTCTCAATGTGATATATTTTTATTTTTAATTTAATACTTTCCGCAATTATTTATGAGTCCAAGGATCCCCCCTCAATTTGTTTTGTGGTTTATTGGGGATTTTTTTTTTTTTGGTGGTGCTGGGGATTGAACTCCAGATCTCTTGCATGGTAAGCACACATTCCCTCCGCAAAAGGATCTTTGTTTATGTTTATTTATCATTTGAATTTCGCGTGTGAGATGTCTCATCATATCATCTGATATGTTTTCTCCTGGACAGTCCTTTTTTATATTTTTGAGTTCCTTATATATGGGGTTTTTTTTGTTTGTTTTTTGTTTTTTTTTGGTTTTTTTTTTTGGGTACCAGGGATTGAACTTGGGTCCTTGCGCTTGCAAGGCAGGCCACCAAACCGCTGAGCTAAATCCCCAGACCCCTTATATATGTTTTAGTGTTCTGTCAGTTCACTTCATTTCTTTCTTTCTTTCTTTTTTTACACTTTGGATGATTCTTTTAAATGCAAAATTTGTTACATATTTATTACGTTTTCTCTGTGTGGAGTTAGTTTTAGCCACTTTTCTATTTTAAGTCTTTTCCCCAGAAGGTGTAAAATTTAGAAACAGTGTATCCCAAAGAGATTAAAAATACAAACTTATTGAAATCTAGGTTCAAATCCAGCTTGGTTACTTAAGAACTCTATAACCTTAGGCCAATTTCTTCATCACTTTGTTCCTCATTATTTCAACTATCAGTCTAATAATCTACTCTACAGGAATGTTCTGAAAATTTGCTGAGTTGACACCTATAAACTATTTGAAACAGTTCCTACCACAAAGTAACTGCTGACCAAACTGTTGCTATCATTATTTGTAGTTGTGAGCAAAGAAAAAACATAGGCATACAGACCTGTAACTACCATTTAGTAACTGTCTGCTTAAGATACCGGCCCTGACTGAGCTTTAATCACAATATAAAATGAGAGTAGTAATAACTAGTGAAGATAAGAGCTAGTGCAGTTATTTGTCAAGCTTCCATTTGAAAGAGAGAGTACTTAGAGTCAAGAGGAAACATCTTTTAAGGATAGCTTTTTAAAGAAACCTGGATATTAAATCCTTCCTTAAAGTATAATACAGACCTAAGTCAAATTTTAGGTCAATTTTTATAATACTCTGGGACCTCAGAAGTAATGATGGTTTATGCCTTAATGACATTTTGTGTAAACTACATTACCATTTTACCATATATTTTCATGAGAAAATGTATTTCTTTTGTGATAGTTACCAGAAATGCAAGTTAGTAAAAAGTTAAGGATTACTTATAATCACTAATTGCATATAATTTTGTGGAATTACAACTTAAAACAGATTAGAAATTTCCCAGTTTTGTGTTTTATTTTGAAGAAATATTTATCTGATTATCATTCCAGTAAGTACAAGGTGGATTGTGCATGCCTTAAGGAAAATCCAGAGTGCCCTGTTCTGAAACGTAGTTCTGAATCCACGGAAAACATCAATAGTGGTTATGAGACTAGAAGGAAGAAAGGAAGAAAAGATAAAGATATTTCAAAGGAAAAAGATACACAAAATCAGAATATGACTTTGGATTCTGAAGGAACAACCAACAAAATAAAGAGCTCAGAAACGAAGCAGAGAAAACTTTCTCCACTGAGATTATCAGTATCAAACAATCAGGTATGGAACTCTACTGATTCTTGATGAAACTGAATTAACACAAGAAAATGATTTGTCATATTTTACCTTTTTTTGTTTAATGGAGAACTATTTCACATTTTTTAAGTCCATTCTGTTTTTTGTGAAGTACTGTAAATACAAGTTTTGGTGTAGTGTATACATTTGTTGTATTATGGTGAAACAACTCAGCCAACAAAGCTTTGTAGAGTCAAAGACAGGATTTTCCTAAGCCTTGGTAATTAAAAAAAAAAAATCCAAAGAGCACTTTTCTTATGTTCATAAGTGTTCTATATACGTATGTATGTATATATTCATGCAGTACTAAGGATTAAACCTAGGACTTTCACATTAGGTTACATCCCCAGCCCTTTTTAAATTTTGAGATTGGGGCTTGCTAAGGTCTCAGACTAGGCATGAAATTGTTACCTTTCTGCCACCAGCTTCCCAGAGAATACAGGTGTAATGTGTAGAATAGGAATACAGATATCTGCAACCTTGCACAGCTATACATGTTCTTATTTAAAGTCTGAAGTCATGAGATTGCCTTTCCTTAAATATCTGGACAAAAATAACCCTACCATTGCTATGAGTGCTATAACCAATAGCAGGCAACATCTTTAAAAAACTGCACGTACATATGAAATAATTTTGAGGGTAGAGTTTAGTCTACACTTTTCCCTGACCAGATAGTATTTGTTATATGCCATGTTAGCCAGGCCTCATGGCTCATGCCTATAATCTGAGCTACTCAGGGGGCCAAGGCAGAAGGATCACAAATCTGAAGCCAGACTGAGCAATTTAGTGAGACCCTCTCTCAATTAAAAGGGTTGGGGACGAGCTCAGCACTCTAAAGTGCTTTTCTAGCATGTTTGAGGTCTTGGCCTGGTTCAAGTCCCAGTATTATACACACACAAACACACACACACATGCACCCCCGACACACACTCAGACACACAAGCTCACGCACTTGAAGTTTGACGGCTGGAGATGCAGCTCACTGGTTGACTGCTCATCTACCATGCAGGAAGCCTTGGGGTTCCATGCTTAACATGACAAAAAGAAAAATAATTAAAGAGAGCCAGATGCACAATCCCATCTACTGAGTAGGCTGAGGTCTGAGGATCACAAGTTCACAGCTACCTAAGTAATTTTGTAAGACCCTGCCTCAAAATTTTTTTATTTTAAAAATTTTATTATTTTTTGTTTTGTCTTTTCAGACAGGGTCTCACTCTGTTATTTAGACTGGCCTTGAACTTAAAGCCATCCTGCTGCATCAGCCTACCAAATGCTGGGATTACAGACATGCACCACCATTCCTGGTGTTAGATTTATTATTTTTAAAAAGGCAGTTTTTGCTTATTATATAAGTGCTCTATCTTGGAATGATTTCCTTTAAGTTTTAAATTGGACATATTTATTGAGCACTTTTATTTCCAGGTTTTGTAAAAAATGTTTATGTTTCAGAAAGAGTATAAATATGAAATCATATTAGCATTTTCACATACTGGCTTTCTATTGATAAGAACTTTATTAACTAGAATTTAGGAAGCAAAATTATTTGATAACAGGATTTTGAACAGTTTGTTGAATTAAGAAACAAAAAAAAAGTTTTGTAATTTCTATATGTTGAATTATGTTTGTTTTTTATGGTAGTTTTTTGTTGTTATTTTTGTTTGTTTTTGGTGGTGGTGATTCTGTGGATTGAACCCATTTCCTTCACACTGAACTACATCCTGGCCTTTGTGTTTTTGCTTTGAGGCAAGGTCTTGCTAAGGCACTGACTTGCTCACGCTGGCCTTGAACTTGTGGCGATCCTCCTGCCGCAGCCTCCCAGAGTGCTGCTGTTACAGGTGTGTGCCATCAAGCCAGGGTAGTCTTGGTCAAAAGACTTTTAAACAGTTTAATGTCCCTAGTTTATCATAAGTAATCATTTCTATAAAGAAGACATTTCTGTCTTTCAGGAACCAGATTTTATTGATGATATAGAAGAAAAAACTGCTATTAGCAATGAAGTAGAAATGGAGTCAGAGGAGCAGATTGCAGAAAGAAAAAGGAAGATGGTAAGTTGGGGGCCAGTAGCTGCTTTCTGCTCAGTTGGACTGAGGGCAGCCAACATGCCATGGAGTATTTTTATTTGGCTTTATCATTACCACTTAAGTAAACTGCACTAGTCATTTGTATTTTTAGTGGTGTTCATTAGACATTTCAGAATGTATGACGTTTTAGAAGTAATTTTAGTAACATTTTTGAAGTTGGAAACTATTAATAAATCTTAATGCCACAATTACTGTTCATAATGTCTCTCATTAGCTAAATGTACCCCTTTTCATGATTTGATATAAAATAAACAACTGTAAGCCATAAATAGCACCAAGTAAATGGCTTGTATAAAGCCAAAACAAAATACACCATTGTTTGGTAGTTACTATTTCCATATTAGTCTACTGTTATAAAAAGTAAGACTTTCATTACAATAAAATTTAAGAAGAGCATGGTGTCACATGCCTGTAATCCTAGCACTTGGAAGGCTGAGGCACTAGGCTTGCTGTGAATTTGAGGACAGCCTAGATTACATAGTGAGACTCTCTCAAAAGATAAAACCAAACAAAAAAATAAGTTTAGAATTTATAGCTCTCATACTGTTTATCTTGTCAGTGTAGAAATGGGTCAAGAAATTTCCTCAAAAAACAGTGGTAATTAACATTCTCAATATGAAGGAAATCCTGTATCCAAAGGAATTATATGGAACTTTTTTCAGGATATAGTAATGTGTAAGTTAACTGTAGTCCATGTTTTCTGTAACTATTGCCTCCTTCATTCCTTAATTGTGCCAGTATTATGCTTGCATTACCTGTGTAAGAACTTCTAACTGACCAAGTTAGAGCCACTGCTTCCTGCAGGTGGGGCATGATGTGTCTGATAGAAGGAGCCTCCTCCTTTACAGTTGGCTCTGTGAGCCATAGCAGTGGCTTTAAAAACAATTACACATGGGGCCAGGGATTTAGCTCATTGGTTCCACTGCCTGCCTCGCAAGTGCAAGGACTGAAATTCAGTCCCCAGTACCCCCCACCCCCAAAAAAGCCTGAACACTTGTTCTGTGCTCAGAGTAGTTTTATTCAGAATGGGTTGTATTTAAAAATTATTATGACGTTGAGTATACTTTAAAATATCAGTCCTCAGGGGCTGGGCATGGCATTGTAGCGCACGCCTGTAATCCCAGCACTTGGGAGGCTAGGGCAGGAGGATCGCCCTGAGTTCGAGACCAGCCTGGGCTACACAGGGAGTTCCAGGTCAATCTCAACTACATAGTGAGACCCTGTCTCAAAAAAAACAACAACAACAACAAAACAACAATAAAAATACCAATCCTCTGTCAATCCTGAGAAAGACACTGGAACTTAGAAAATCCTTATTTCCTTATGACAGAAAAAAAATAGATGCCTTTTTATTGATCTTAGATTTTTTGGAGAAAATATTTTTTGTGCTTATTTGGCATCCACTTTTGGCTCTGATTATGCTGTATTAATCTAGAGTACTTAAATGTTTTTATACTCATTTAGCATAGGCATCCTATTATCTGCCACTAAGATGGCTATGAAGGTGGGAATTTCATGGGAATAAAAGCTGGAAAAATTAAAAAGTATAAGTGTTTATAATTTGGTATTTTGAAAGGATATGTAATAAAATTTTAAAACTTTTTCTTTGGTTTCTTGATCTAGAGCCCTTAAAGTTATTGCATTCTTACTCTAATTGGTATATTTGGTTTAATGTTTAAATTATAGAATTTTTGGGTGTAATCAGATAAGCTGAATGCAGAAGCACACATGCTGGGATTCCTAATCAGTTAGTTTTTTTCCTCTCAGAGTAGTGGTATTTGTTTTTTAAATGAGCCTTTGAATTTCTAGTTTTTGTCATTCTGTTTAGATTTGCTTCAGTAGGTAGAAAAATAAGGGCAAATAAAGTGGCAACTTAGAAAAAAGATAACTAAAACCAGATGAAATAAAGATGGTAGCCATGTTACTCTTCTGGCTTTTTAAGACAGGGTCTCACTATGTAATTTAGGCTGACCTCAAATTCACAGTGATCTTTCTGACTTAGCCTCCTAATTGCTTGGATTACAGGTATGCACCACCATGCCCAATACCATGTTTTTCTCCAGTGACAAGCAGACTTCTAAGCCATTATGGATTATAATGATATAGGCTATCATGTATATTTACCAGATTTGAATAAGGAATTCTTATAATAAGGAATTCTTCCTGTATAAATTCCATATAATCTCTAAATTCAAATGTATTTCAGTCAGTCCTTTGTAGTATAGCTGGAACAATACGGAACTGATCTAATTTTTGCCTATATTTTTTAAAAAATTCATATACCACTTAGCATCTGGCTCTGTTTCCAAAACTTGCATCAGTGGATTTATGTATTTTGTTTCTTGATATCATTCTTTTTAATGAGAATGAAAGGACAATATCTCTGCCTTCACAGATATTTACAAAAATAATTCAGCAAGAGGTGGTACAGGAGATAGAAAAATGATAGGTAACTCAAGTTGAGAAATATCATTTATTTGAGAGGTACCATTTTACTAATTCTGGGAAATACCTGTGATGGGCTTTTGAGTAGGGCTTAGACAAGTCTATTCTAACTAGTTGTATGGAATTGAATTTGCATTTATTTCTCCAGGAAAAATAGGCCAGAGAGAATTATGAATATGACAAATGATTTGTGGTTGAGGATTATAGGCTGTATTTGGGGAAAGGGGAGGGTTATATGGATAATAGAGTAAGGTCATAGAGCACCCATTCATGTAAGTTGTGGTTTCCAGGTGTGAAAATTTGAGCGATGAGTATTTCACAAAAGAGTATTAATTCAAATCATTACTAGCCAGGAAGGAAAAGCTTCTTTTATTCTCAGCTCCATTTCCCTCCACCTCCTTTGGTCCTTGAGATTTTTCTTTTCTATCATCCATTAATTGCTTTGTTTGTGATGCCACACCCTCCTTCCCAAGAAGTTGCCACCCACTTACAGAAGTAAATTTGGGCCAAACTGTATGGAGCAGATGAGGGTTACTGTAAGTCTCCTCTCTGCTGGTAAGAGGTGCTTCTTTGACTGTGAGTCTGAATGGGTATCGGAGGTCTTTGAGCCCAGATAGGTTGTGCCTCTGGAGACAGCAGGCTGTGCATACTCACCTGATTCCAAACCAGGCACCACAGGTGGGCCCACTGGGATTCGTTAGTTGGGGTGGGGTTAGTTGGCCGGTCTTGTCAGAGAGCATGCAGAAGAGGGTGAGGTACTGGGAAGCATACCGTTAATAAGCAATCATTTTTAAAATAGCAGAGTTTTGAAATATTTATATTAAAAACATTCTCTCCTATTTATGATATGAAAAGAACTTCCTTTATAGTATCTGTTAATATATTTCTGAAATACTTTTTTGTAATCACCTTAAAAGATACCTTGAAAGTATAGTTGGTGATACTTCATGGCGTCTTATAATCAGATTGCTTAAACTAGAGCCTGTGGACGTTAGTTCATTTAAAAGGACAGAAATGTGCCATCCATCACAAGGATATTCAAAGTTAATCACCCAGGACTGAGATCCCTGGGCCTGTCAAACAGCTAGGGTAGTATAAAATTGTGTATCACTAGAACATAAACTCCGTGACGTAGAGTTTGAGATTTATTGTCACAGCCCTGCTCCTCACAGGGAAAAAGTGCCTGGTATATTAAGAACATGTAAATGCTTAGAAAATGAGCCGACTAAATGTTCATGGGAACCACTGAGGAACGTCAGATAAATGAAGTTTCCTTATAGTTCAGGAGGTCTTGCCCAATGCTATTCAGGATTTTCCATGAGTTTCAACCCTTGTCCTTCACACCAAGAAGTGTTCCACAGAAATCTGAGCTAACACAGTATGCCAAACAAGAGCTCTTTGGAAAGTTGAGTTTAGTAAACACTGTACTTAGTCCTCTCCCTTTGAGATTTCCCATGTGTATTAGCTGCTCATTGTTCAGACGTGACACCTGACAACCACAGCTTTGAGAAGTTAACTTGCTCACAGTTTCAGTCGCTGATCTGTGGGCTCCAAGGCAGGAAGATCATGGCAGAAGGGCCTGGCACCTGGAACAAGAGTAGGGGAAGAATGCCAGAGCACCATCCAGACCCCAGGCCACGCCCCGACACACCCAGAGGATTTGAAGCTCTGCCGTAACTGCCACACACTTTGTGCATCAAAACTCTTGAGACTGTGTTGTTCAGCATCGCCTAGATTTCTACACCTTTGACAGTGTGTTGATTTTCTATCCAGTGGCTGACACACTCTAAGAAAACATGATTATTCATAATCTACACTGTTATTCTGCCTTTAGGAAGTGACTTGCTTTAGAATACCACCGTCAAAGAGGCAGGGTGCCCCCTGCCACTGGTGCTGGAGATTGAACCCAGATCTTTATTTTTTTGAGACAGTGTATTAGTGCCTACAAACGCTTACAGGGCTGGGGCAGGGCTCCTCAAAAAGACAGTGAGGACTGGAGCTCCTCAAAGTGGACAACCAAAGCTCATCCTAGGCAAAGCAGCTGGAATGAAGCGCTTCCAAGGAAAATCAGCTGAAATTTTCCCTTCCCGTTCTCCTTTTTATCTCGTGGGTCTTCCACACCCAGAATGCTGCTGACTGAATTCATCTGGGCATCCCCATTCAAGCTGACAGTTAATCAGTTAATCACCAAAGAGAGGGTCCCACTAAGTTCCAGGATGGGCTTGAATTTGTGATTCTCCTGCCTCACCCGCCCAGAGTGCTGGGATTACAGGTGTGATACATGCACACCTGTAGTTTTAATAATAGTATAGGTGGAAGGGTAAATTTGTTAAAAATAAATTTGTTGCCAGAAAAGTCATCTGAGCACAGGACTGTGGTGGGCTCATTGAGCTCACTGTGCTCGCCTTATAGTATGCTTAAGTTGACATTGACTGACACTTTGCTATTTTTCTCATGCTTTTCTTTTTTCGGTACCGAAGATCGAACTCAGGACCTTGTGCTTTTGAGGCAGGTGCCAGCACCACTGAGCTAAATCCCTGGCCCTGACACTTTTCTAAGTTTGTGTCATCAGAGATTAGGATTTGTATTTGTGAAGAAAAGTAATTAATAACGTCAAAGGAGACCAGTTTGTTTTTATAGGTATTCTGTTAAAACAAAATGAGGTTGTTCTGCTTTAGCTGTGTAATAAATTTAAGACGCCCCAAACCATACTTCAGTGCTTCCAGTTGTGTCTTCACATAGCAGTGAGACACAGCTGATGTGACACTCAGCCGTTCTTACTCGTGCAAAGTGCGCAGCTGTCAGAGTCTCCCAAGTGCTGGGCGGGACAGCAGGCAAGGCTGGATAGCACGCAGCCAGTCCCCAGCGTCGGCACACTGACAGTGCCAGGAGGGCAACAGAGGAGACAGATACCACACAAGTCACACATGCTGCTTTCAACAACTTTTATTAGTGACCAATCACATTATGAATCTTGAGATTCACAGTCTGTTATTGCTGTTGGAAAGAATAAGGGAAATTTAAGGAGTCTTTAATTTCTGTACTACAAGACCATACAGTAGGGTAAATTTGTAGGTGGGCCCTGGCCTTTCCTTAAAAGACAGATTTTCTTTAAAATTGTGATTTCTGGGATTCATATTTTCAGACTATGGGAACTTAGATGAGGAAAGCAGACGACTGCCGGGGCTGAGCTGGGCTGCTGCAGTGGCGTGCAGTCTTTCCTGTCCCCATGTCTGCTTCCTGCTTGACAGCAGGTAGAAAGGCGAATCTGGAATCCCTAGATACCTTTCTCCTTGTCTACACCCCCACCCCCAGAAGAGTTCCCTGTAAAGCTATGTGACAGATTTACAAGTTTACAGGCTTATTTTTAATACATTAAGTCACTAGGCACATTTTCTGAGCTAGTATTTTTTTCAGCTTCTGTATTATGTAACATGTTAATTCCTGTTATTATGTAACCTTGAACTGTATGGTGCAGGCTTTCCCCATCTTTTGAAACTTAAGACAAAAATTACCTGTCTATTCCAAAAGTTGAAAATACAGGTTTTTACTACCATGTCTTTATTCTTTGAAGTACACAGTTAGAATAAAGATTCTCAAAATACTGATACCTCAGCAAATGGAAGTGTTATGAAGCAGACTTTTTTTTCCTTCAGGTCACAGGAAATTGTAGTACTCCATATTTACTGTTAGAAAGCCACAACTGAAAAAGGACATCATAATAATGCACAGTGAGTCACGAAGGAGGGCCGCATACTTTAGTGTGACATCTAAAAGCGTGGACGGTGTGTAGTAAAGCTACACAGGTCTCTGCGTCCGCATCTTTCTGTCAGCTTCCCAACTCACACACGACGAAGGACTTGGGCTGCAGTGAGTCAGATAGAGAATACACAGGTCACACAGCCCTGTGGGTGCTCTAAACTGCATCAAGCAGAGTCTTGGTTGCACTGGGCAGTCTCCTGGGGTGATGACCCTTTATTTCTCTAGTTATCTGCAGTTACTTGTAAGTTCGATATAAACAATTTCAGTAAATACTGTTACCTAGTTATATGTCAGATAATGTTGGAATGCGTGATGAACATTCTAGTTGAATGATATATGAACCTTAAGGAATTATAAAGTTGTTTAACTGTGGAAATAAGTGATTGTTATCCATGCAGAAAGCCACATATGGCCAGGCATGGTGGCGCACACCTGTAATCCTACCACTTGGGAGGCTGAGGCAGGAGAATTGCCCTGAGTTAGTTCAAGCCAGCCTGGGCTACAGAATGAGTTCAAGGTCAGCCTGAACTATAGTGAGACCCTGTCTTAAAAAAAACAAAAACAAAAACAAAGAAAGAAAACTAGGCCTTTTTCATTTTTACATTCCCACGATAGGTTAAAGCTATTAGGAAATGTGTTTAGTGCTCATGACTTTGTTCCTACACAGTTAAGAGGTGTAGTGATGTAAGAAGACCAGTGCTTCACTGTTCTTCACATAGGATGGCAGGCGAGTACTTAGTGGGGACTACGTATAATCATCACACAAGGGTCCCACCTTCGATGCAGTCACTTTGTACAAGGACTTGGATTACCAGGATAGGACTGCATTATTTCTTAAGATCCCAACCAACTCTGGAGATCAAGAACCATCTCTAAGTGAAGGGGTTTGCTTTAACTAGATTGTACTATTTACAGGGAAGTTCCATATTTCTTTGAATGAGTTTGGGTCTTTCTGTAACTTATCTGAGCCTTACTCCCTGATCCAAAACAAGGGAAGTGTCAGAGAAACTTCTCCTGGCATAAATTCCTAAGGGTTTTAGAAAATCTAGGGTAATCATAATCTACCAAACATCTCTTTCACACATAAATGATTTATGCTAAGGCGGTTTTTTTTTTTCTGGGAAAATATAATTTCTCCACAAATTTAGAATGTTTATGAAGTAGCCACAGTAATTTACATCTTTCCTTCAATATGTGAAGCAACTGTGAAAATGAACTTTGTGTTGTACTTGGGTTTTAAAAAATCCCTGATACCCACTCATAGTTTTTTTGTTGTTGTTGTTTGTTGTTTGTTGTTTTTTGTTTTTTGAGACAGGATCTCACTTTGTAGTTGAGACTGACCTGGAATTCACTATGTAGCCCAGGCTGGTCTCGAACTCACAGCGATCCTCCTGCCTCAGCCTCCCAAGTGCTGGGATTACAGGCGTGCATCACCATACCCAGCCCACTCATAGTTTTTAAAGAAAGCACTATGACCCAGTGATCTCAAATTGGTGATGTAAAAGACCAGAAATAAGAACGAATTCAGCTTTAAAACATTCAGTTCCAGTGCTTTGATCTTTTGCCCATGCTGTTTTCAAAGTGTCTGACAGCCCATCCTAGACCAGGAGAGCTAAGGGGCAGATGTGTATGCATAGACAAACAGTCCTCGCCAGTAAAGTCAAGGTGAGGATAACACATTTTGTGTCACAGTGGCAGGATGGCAGTTTGCGTCAATAAATTAGAGACTTTAGAGGTATTTTCAGTTGCTCTGTTGATAGCCTACTTTATTCCTTTATAGAGTGTGACAGAAAAAATACAGGAAACACAAAGGGTAGGCCTCCTAATGCTTGAATCTCAGCTGCTGATGGTGGGATAAGTCAATGCTGATGAGACCATGGCAGCCAGACCTGGAGTTTCTGATCTTTCTTTCTTTCTTCCCCACATCAATGACAGTGGAGGAGGAAAGACAAGTGGATCTGAGCCTCAGGACCTGGTTCTTTTCATTTGGAGAACTGGACAGTTGTTGGAGGTGCTTCCTGTGCTGGTTGAAAGCTGAAGCGTTTGCCAGGCGGTCTGGTCGAGGCTCTGGGTCTTGCTCGAAGGGGCTCTTGCTGTTCCCTGAGGCCCTGTACTGAAGTGTCAGTGTAAGAAAGGAAGAGCAGAAGGTAGAGGAATGCCTTTGCAATGATGATGGAGGGCAGGAGTGCTAAAGGAGAAGGGATAGTTAACACATGTGGGATGCCTGCCGTTTTGCCAAGTACTGTCTGAAAAGCTCACAGATGTTTTGTTTGAACTTAGGAATGGTCCACTGAAGTGTAAGTATTATTATCCCATCTTGCTTCTCAGAAAGGTTAAGTAACCTGCTTAAAGTCACAGTGATGCTGGTAGTCATAATTTGAACCCAAGACTTCACCTCACAGCCATCCCGCCGTAACACAGCAGGAACCTATTGACTGCTCCTGTACACGTCATACCAGAGGAATTCTTGGTTTTTAATAAAAGACTGGCTTCTACATTAACACATTTTTTTAATGTGGAAAAGCAAGGTAGATTTTGAGGCTTTTAAGAAAAACCCTTTTAACAATCAGCCATGAACTCTATTTGTAGAAAGAGGCCTTACAGAGATGATGTTCGGGACTCTACAGCTCTAGAATATGAGCTGTCCACCCCTTACCCACCAATGATAGACTTGGTTTGCTAACAGTATCATAGCAGTGCCTTTTCAAGTTGGATATGAATTTTGATTTTTTACCTCAGAGCAATGATATCATGCTACTTAAAATTAAAACTTCAATTTTTGTAGACAAGAGAAGAAAGGAAAATGGAAGCAATTTTGCAAGCTTTTGCCAGACTTGAGAAAAGAGAGAAGAGACGAGAACAAGCTTTGGAAAGGATCAGCACAGCCAAAACAGAAGTTAAAGCTGAATGTAAAGACTCACAGACTGCCAGTGATGCTGAGGTTATTCAGGTATTATTATTCAGGTCTATTTTTATTTTCATATTTACACACCCTCAAAATTTCCATATACGTACAATTTAATTACATCTCTTAAAAAATGAAAAATTATGCCTGATAGACTTTTGATAGCATTTTATGGGAAATTTAGACTTAAGTTTACACTGCATAATTTTTCATCTTGCCAATTCATTATACATCAGAATCCATAAATTTGGAAAACTTTGAGTAGATTAATGCTGTTGTCCTTCAGCTTATAGAAACACAATCGAAAGTTCCATTATGTTGTATTTGGAATTAGGAACAAGCAAAAGAAGAAACCGCTAACAAGCCTGCCCCTGCCAGAGTAAACAGAGCTAAACAGAGGAAAAGCTTCTCTCGCAGTAGGACTCACATCGGACAGCAGCGCCGGAGACACAGAACGGTCAGCATGTGCTCCGACATCCAGCCTTCCTCGCCCGATGTTGAGGTCACAGCACAGCAAAACGAGATAGAAAACACTGTGCTAGTCATAGAGCCAGAAACGGAAACTGCAGTGGCGGAAATAATCCCTGAGGCTGAAGTTCCAGCACTTAATAAATGTCCTCCGAAGTACCCCAAAACAAAGAAGGTATGATTCCTTATGAATGCTACAGACTGTTTCTCAGCAAGTGTCTTACGGCATTAGTAAATTTTAAAAATTCAGTTGTCTACTTACAGATTTTTAAAAGAATTATGAGACTGTTCAGTTATGATTAAGATAATCAAGACTTTGTGCTGCAATTCATGGTTTCTTTAAATAAGTGTGCCTGCCTTTTGCGCAAATGTGGTGTTTGCATTTTTGTGCAAACTGGTTTCATGTGCACTGTCCCTCGCCTCTTCCTTGTGGTAGTACCTGGGACAGAATCCAGGCCCATGAGCATCTAGGCCGGAACTCTACTCTGAACTGTAACCCCAGGCCATTTCTCTTTTGTCATTTGTGTGTTTTATAACTCCCACTGTGTAGGTAGATTATAAGAATCAAATGTGAAGAAACTGTTATTTCAGTGGATTGTACTAAATGTGCATATTTGTAAGGTAGAAGTTCTAGATCAAACTATTTAGAATTCTTGGAAACCTGTCAGATTTAATGAAGCATTTATGAGACGGTATTTACTGAATTAATTAATTAATTTATTTATTTTTGGCACTGGGGATCGAACTCGGGCCCTTGTGCTTGTGAGGCAGGTGGCGGCACCACTGAGCTAAATTCTCGGCCCGCTATTTACTGAATTAAACAAGTCTGGGCTCTTTCAGCTCAGAAATAGGATATCCTTATGAAGCTGCTGCTTTCTCACTAACACACACAGCATGCTGATGAGACCAGAGGTACCAAAGTGGTAACCCTTTGGTTCTTCGAGGAGAGAGCAGACCACAAATAGATCCTTTTCTAGTAATTTTATAATAGAGTACTTTGAAATTTCATTTATTTTGATCTAATTCAGTAGTTTATAGGAACACTGCCAAAACCACCCAGGGTTATATTTTAGTGGTAGAAATTAAATAACTTACTTGCCAGAAAGCCACAGGATTAGCAATCTAACCAGAGCTGTGTTTAACTTACAATCTGTGTTCTCCTCACTGCCCCATGCCAGCAAGCCAATACTTGTTTTTAACAATGTTTTAGCTCATCTTGAGAAGACAAAAAAATAATTTCAACTTTTGTGTAGTAGAAAAAAAAAAACCCTCAAGTTTAAAGAAGTGAAATTGCTTTCTCAATTATAAATATAAATCCTGCCTTTTAATTATAAATGAGGAAATTATTGTGCTGTCTGCATCCCCCAGTGTGCAGTGTGGGCTCTTCCATCCTATCCTGTAGGTTTTGTTTATGGTATTATTTGAAACATAGTATTTCTCAAGCAGTGCCAATTGTCAGGGTTCCCTCTAACCATAGCACTTGCTCTGGGACAGACACGATTCTAAGGGCTATGCTTAGGCTTTAACTTCACACAGGGTCTTGCTCTCATGGTGGGCAGATGCTGTCATCACTGAGCTACATGCTTTCTCACTGTCATAACATTGTCTAGAGCTGGGTTCCATTACAACCCTTCTTTTTTTACAGGTGAAGACTGAGATGTAGAAGTTACATAATGTGCTCATGGTCCCAGTGTAAATGGCAAAGGCAGAATCTACTCCCTGGCAATATGGGTGCAGATTCCAGGTGCTGGTAAAGCACTACATATTGCCACCATGTACTGCTTGTTCTGCAAAGGTAGCTCTGCATACACAGACACACAGACACAGACACACACACACATATATATGGATTCTATCAAATATTTAAATTGCCTAACAGACACACACACAGACACACACACACACACACACACACACATATATGGATTCTATCAAATATTTAAATTGCCTACCGGCAGATAGGCGAAGTATGTTACTTTGTTAATGTGCCTGTTTCTGTCCCTCATGTTGTGTGTGTGTGTGTGTGTGTGAAGGGACATATACATGTATACTTTTTCTACAATTCATATTCCTCATGAAATTTAAAGAATCTTATTTGATTACTAGGCATATGAATGCCCAGGGAGCAAAGGGGAAAAAAATAACAAGTTTTAAAAAGGAATAATCATTATCCTTTACAATCACATATATTCATACTACTAGTAAGATTGAATTATGCATGTTGCAGACCAAGTAAAAAAAAAGAATTAAAAAGACCATGTAAAATTTCAAAGCATAGGAACTTTTGAATATTTAAAACGTCTTCAACCAGGGATTGGCAGTGCTGACAGTTTTGTTTTGTGTATGTACACTATATACACTAATTCATCTCTGAGAGTTTTAAAAAAATTTTTTTTGAGACAGGGTCTTGCTATGTAGCTTAGGCTGGCCTCAAACTCATAGTGATCTGCCTGCCTCAGCCTCCCAAGTGCCAGGATGACAGGTGTCCACCACCACACCCGGCTACTCAGAGATTCTGAGAGGCCCTTTGCTTTGGAAAACACTGCTAAAATCAGATTTTTCTAACTGATCAATTTATATGTGTAAAACAGTAGCAAGCCTAAATTTTTGCTATTTGATACTGATGTCTCCTAGGTTTTACTATTTTTAAAAGCATTAGTGTTTTTATGTAATAATCAACTGTTTTCTTTCTCAAGAACATCATGTAAAATATATCATAGGAAATATAGAATGACATGCAGAGCTTTTTGGACATCATGTATGAATTATTTAAATTACACAATTTATAACTTTAGGCAATGTCCATTTCTAATTTTGTTATCGGGGTATTTTTTGGGGGGTGCTACCAGGGACTGAACTCAGGACCTTGTGCTTGTGAGGTAGGCACAGCGCCACTGAGCTAAATCCCTGGCCCTGTTATGAGGGTATCTTATAGGAGAATATGCACTTATGTAGTGATCCAGATTTTTCTTTTCTCTAGCACTTGGTCAGTGAATGGTTAAGTGAGAAGAATGAGAAGACAGGAAAACCTTCAGACAGCCTTTCTGAAAGGCCGCTGCGCATAACTACAGATCCAGAAGTGTTAGCTACACAGCTCAATTCTCTGCCCGGTCTCACCTACAGTCCTCACGTGTACTCTACTCCTAAGCATTATATTAGGTTTACATCACCATTCCTTTCAGAAAAAAGGAGAAGGAAAGAACCTACTGACAATGCTTCTGGCTCATGCAAAAAGGTAAATGTTTCTTTGGATGTTATGAATCTGGGATGAACTAGACACATGCCAGTCTCATTCCTTGTTGCTAATACTTGTAGAAAAGTGCTTTTGAAATCAGCTCTGCATTGAAGACAATGAATAGCTACTAATTTATTCCTGTTCATTTTTTCTGTTTTATTTAGCGATGGTTGAAACAGGCTCTGGAAGAAGAAAATTCAGCAATTTTACATAGATTTAACTCGCCTTGTCAAGAAAGATCCAGAAGTCCTATAGTCGATGGGGAAAATAAAAGCCCACTACTATTTAATGATAGTTGTTCCCTTCCAGGTAGGATTTATTTTCAATATTGATTTAGTGTGAGCAGTACGGCGGAACAGACCTAGTTTCATAGCGGGCATGGTCTAGTTACCGCTGGTGATAAGAGAAGAGCACACTGTCACAAAACCCTTCTCATTCTGTTCTCCAAAGCTTGTCTCCAAGGCAAGACAAGAAATCCTTGGTTTGCAGTACAGTGTACTTTGGGGAATATGGTTGAATTTTTAAGGCCTAGTTTTGGCTTTGGGGCGTGCTGATTTCAAACATTCAAAAGGACTCTGAGAAAAATCAGTCACAGCAAGGTTAACACTACTCCAGCTACTTGTAAGATTTCCTTGAGAACTCTAGGCCTACAAGTCCTTCAGGCAAGGTAATACTTGCTAATAAAAGATCTATGGGGAAAATGGTTTCATGTTAATTCCATTTAAAAAAATTATAATTTAGGCATGGGGTGAAAGTAATCCTAATTACTATATACTAGTATCTTTTCCAGAATATCACATTTCCAGAATGTTACAGATTATAGCAAATACCAACAGTATAACTTCTTATAGATTATTATTCTGCCAACAGATTTAACTACACCACTAAAAAAACGAAGACTTTATCAATTGCTAGATTCTGTTTACTCAGAAAGCTCCACACCTACTCCTTCACCGTATGCCACACCAACTCATGCAGACATTACTCCTACGGACCCGGCATTTGCCACTCCTCCACGGGTAAAATCAGACGATGAGACCTGTAGAAATGGTTACAAACCCATATATTCACCAGTCACCCCGGTAACACCGGGCACACCAGGAAACACCATGCACTTTGAGGTGAGAAATTTCAATGAGAAAACGGTTTTCAGCCCACATAGATGGGGAACAACGAATGTGCTAAGAAACTAAATGAAAAGAGAAAATTGGATGCAGACATTGATGTGAATGTAAACATTTAAAAACCTTTTTAATCGGAGCAATGACTGTGTGTGTATCGAAGTGACCTCGGAGCACGTATCTTATCTGGGACCTTTTGGTTCCTGAGCCTGATGGTCGGGGTTCATGCCACTGTGTGAGATGTGCCCCTCAAACGTCGTCACAGCGCCAGCACGTTACCTGTTGGTGTGGGGCAAAAAGAAAATCTTACCTGGGGCATGCAAGGAAAACAGGAAACAAATCCTAAACCCAGAGTCTATGTAGTAGTTTCTAATTTTAAGTTTTCATTTCAAAAATTTTATGGATTTTATTATGTATTTTAATTTTCAATTTTGATTATTCCTTTTATGTAGAATATTTCTTCCCCAGAAAGTTCTCCAGAAATAAAGAGACGCACTTACAGTCAAGAGGTAAGGAGGTGATTAAAAAAAAAAAGTTAAGCAGCCACATTTTTCCCAGTATCATTATTTTGCCTAAATTACTGGTAGATTTTAAAGTAAAGAATCTCAAGATGTCATTATGTGTGTGTGTGTGTGTCTTTAATTCTGTAAACAGGGATATGACAGATCTTCAACCCTGTTAACATTGGGGCCTTTCAGAAATTCCAGTTTAACTGAGCTGGGTCTGCAAGAAATAAAGACTATTGGTTACGCCAGCCCTAGGAGTAGGACCGAGGCCGGCAGGCCGGGCATGGGCGAGAAGGAGCCGGCGTCGGATCTGCACCTGGGCCTGGACGCGGTGGAGCCGGCCGCCTTGCTCCAAGCCCTGGAGGCGCCTGCCCACGACAGGCCCGAGCCGGCCGCGCTGTACCCGTCCTGGGTGAAGTCTCCCGACAGAGCCGGTGTCTTCTCCGTCAACTCCAACCTCAGGGACCTGACGCCCTCGCACCAGCTGGAGGTTGGAGGCGGCTTCCGAGTAAGTGAGTCCAAGTGCCTGATGCAGGACGACGCCAGAGCCGCGTTCCTGGAGGCGGCTGTGTTCTGCACCGCCGAAGACGGGCTGCTCTCCGGCTTCGGACGGACCGTGACAGACGCGCTCATGGACGGCAGCTGCACTCCCCAGAATCCGCCCCAGAAGAAAAAGGTTACAGATTTCACGGTTGACACGCTCTTTGGGTGGTTTTTTTCTTTATACTGCGGTTGAAGGTTAATTCAGTTAGAATATGTATTTACGTAAGGCATTATTTAGGTTAAAAATTTTATGTGCACATTTTAAAGCCTCTTGTTTTAATTTTAAAAATACAGAAAAGAAAATTGTAGTGATACGGAAAGTCCCTGTAGAAGTGTGGTTTCAGAGACAGAAACTTCACGGTGATTTATTTTGCCAAACGAGTTAACTTTAAAACCCTTCCCAACCGAAAAAGGAGGCAAATCGTTCCTGTCACCCTCATCTTACCTGCAAAGGCAGCCTCGTGTGGGGGAAGCGGCTCTCCCGAGGTCGGCCGGTCCGTCCGTCTGTCTGTCGGTCGGTCGTACGTAGTCGTGCCGTAGCCGCAGAGCGGGGTCGCGAAGCAGGTTTCGGGAAGCAGGCAGCAGGGCCCTGGGCCCGGCGGGCAGGCAGAGAGCGAGCGAGCGGCGGCGGCGCTTACTTGGGTTAACAGGCTTATTGCTTTACCGATCGAAGAATTTTAGTGATGTGTGCTTTTAATTTTTATAACAGAGTCCAGTTGGCAACTTTGTGGGAAGCAATGTAGTATAGTGGAAAGAGCACGGGCTTTCAAGTAAGACCTAGGTTCGAATCCCGGCTCCAACACTCACCAGCGGTGTGGCCTTGAGTGAGTGAGTTACTCAATTTCCTCCTCTGTAAACGGGGATGATAATATACCTATTGCCTAGGGTTGTTGTGAGGATTAAATGAGATAATGTTATGTAAATCCTATACAACAATGCCTGACGTATGGTAGGCATTTGATAATTGTTATTTACTGGAAATCAAATTATTTTAGATAACTTTCCTAATGTAAATTTAGTAATTCTCTTTAGAAAAAAATAGATTCAGACCTGTAAGTCAAGAATAAAAGGTCTGCTTTCTCCGTCTTGCTCCAGGTTTCCCTCCTGGAGTACAGAAAGAGGCAGCGGGAAGCCCGGAAGAGTGGCTCCAAGGCGGACAGCTTCCCTCTGGTCAGCACGCTGCCCAGCGCCGGCGGGAGCCTGAGCGCCTGCAGCGA